TTTTTGCAATTCTTCATGACGTCACCAGTGTTCTACATATAGTCACTGCTAAAAATGGCGCTAGTATGACCGCGAATATCCAATTAACGGCGTTCGAAATATTATGTATGCAATGGAAATGTTCTATAATTACACCAAGTGGTCTATACGTTTCTGATCGTCAGTGTCCACGTACGCGTTTCCGATTTTTGACATTTTACCAGAAGAGCACTTACAAATATGAGTAATTGAACATTTGTCAGAAAATTGTAAAAAGGAGTGCTCGTTAATGTCAGTTATTGTGAAAAGTTCAATTTGAGTAATCTCTGTAGTCCCTATGAGAGTTGGATTATCACGGAAAAATGGCGGGAGTAAACAATTTTCCCTTTTCGTCACATTAATTATTCAATTAAACAAAGATTATTCCGGTCATTTAATGTAGCTAACATTTCTGATAACGTTTGTCAATATGTAGGATTGAATTAAAACGTATCTGTTTGTGTATTGATAGAGGGCAGTATAGTACGGTACATTGACACAAATAATATTATGTAGTACAAAATGATCGCCATTTTGCTAGGTTGGCGCGTGTTTTAGAGTCATACTAGTTTGCAAACTAATTTTATCAACATAACAAAGCAAAATACGTTCGCTTCAAAAAACATCCTAAAAAGTCAACTGAAAAATCCCCAAACGTGCAGCAAAATATATAAACGCATATTCAATGTTGTTTTACATTTTACAATTCAACGAACGACATTAATATTAAAACATAATACGAGCATTTCACAGACAATTCCAATCTTCCCGGTACCATGCCAACAATATTGACTCACCTTACATCCCCAACGTAATGGCTGCTCCAGGCGTCTTTCTCCAGCCTGGATGACACCAACTGAACGAAATTTGCAATATACGATATCGCTGTACCCGTTTCAAAAGCCGAGTTACCTTTGCCAAGAATGAGCACGGTTTTCCCATCGTACAACGACATGTTCATCGGCATGTCCTCATAACCTATCGTGTGTTCAATGCCTTCATAGTCTGGCACATTGGGTGTAGCTATCCCAGTACTCACGATAACAGTCCTGTCAGGCGAAAACAAAATGTTAAATAAAACTGAATTTCCATATTGTGGTTCATACGTGAGTTTACTTGATATCATCACAATAAACATTTGTTATTACAAAACAGATTTAAAGAAAATCATAGTACGTTTATTAAAATGTTGGTGAAAAATATACAAGTACAGTATTCGTAAATACCATTTCAGCTCTGAATATATATACATAAAATGAACTTGTTGTAAGGCTACTGAAAGTCATGATCGTTAACGCTTTAAGTCCAAAAGTCAACATATTTCACCTTTCACAGGTTCTACCCTATGATTTTTTTTCAATTCCTACCCACAATGTTTACATGTAGCGAATGGGGAATTTCCATTTTGCTTAAAATCGAAAAATACATACACATGCGACATTGTGCAACTATATTCTGAGTGTTAATAAACAAATGATATGGTGCAGTCTGTGGTACTTACTTGCATGTGTGGACAGTACCCTTCTGGTCTCTTAAGGAGAATAGACCCGCAGCCGTGTTATCACGTCCAACATTCACAATCGTTGTATTATACTGTATATGTATATTGTACTTGGTTTTATATGCTTGAAAATATTCTAGTATAGCATCAGCGTTGGGGAAAAAATCCCTTGAAAAATCCCTGGGGAATGGTAAAATAAACGACTTATTTGAAAACTCTAGTTAGTAAATTACAGTGAATATAAATACAAGCCGGGCCAGTATTTTTGTTCCTGCTCACCTTTCTTGTGTATAAATAAATGACTTCAAAATAATAAAACCATAATTATTAAACACATGTGAGTGAATAACATTGATCTCGAAAAATCTATCTCAATATATGCTGGTGGTTTTTAACTATACCTCTTGAATGAGGAATGCTAGGATTTGCATTAATTGAGTGAAATGTATTTGTGTTATCTAGCCCGTATATGCGACCGTTTATAAATCTCCGAAAGGGCAAAGCTTGGAATGGTGATCGTTACTCAGCCCCCAATCACAAGAAATCATAGTTCCAACATCATTTACAGCTGCATAACTAAAACTACTTGATCCAGTGTTAAAGAAGGTGTTATACTGAGCGAACATGCGCTGCGTCCACGCACATATACAGCCTAATCTTATGAATCAATGGGAATCATTTGTAATGTGCTAGTCAAGTTCATTACAACCAAGATAAGCAGCCATTTTTTTATTAGAATTCAGGCAACGCTTTAATGTTTATCGACAACAATGACAATGTCCCTGATTAAAAATGTTCTAAATGAGCCTCTCAAGACTGGAAATCCGGACGGGGACTTGACTAGTCCATAACCCTGGCTTTCACGTCACCTATGACAAGTCGGGGAACTTGAACCTTGGTTGGGTTTATACTAGGGGCTATGTCTGTAAACAGAAAATCAATATTATAGAGCCTAAGATTATGGAGCCTAAAAACAATTCATCTCAACATGTATATTTAGTGTGCATACGATGCATGAGAACGAGGACTATGCTAATGATTTGTTTTGTCAATCGATAGTTTTACCAGTGCCAGCCTTACCCAAATAAACCAAAGTGTTTATCAACCAACAGACTGTGGGGCATAAAACACTAGCCATTCATGACACAGATTCTGATTAAAAATAAGTCAAGGGTTTAAACAAAAAAAAGCACATAAAATGGAGGAGCAGTAAAGCATGATATCGCCTCAATTCAGATGACATTGTTTTCTGAGCTAAGGTAGCATTCTACAGCTAATGCTTATTCTAAACCTGAATCAACAACAATGGGTGTTAATATCAGTACAGTGTTTACAGTATCGATCCTTTCCTTGTTATGTTATTTTGTTAATCGTTATAAAATAGTTTTATTTAAAATATTTTTAGATTACATTAAAATAAACATATTTTGAATTTGAGGTTATTCTTTGAGGATTACAAAATTACATTCCAAATGAAATAAATGAATTAATAACTGCTACATTTGAAGAATTCAACATTACTTGAAATATAAATCGCCATCGCCAATAAGGGAGTTCCAATCATGTCTGAAATTAAACTCTTTGTTTGTACTCCCAGTGTTGATCTTATTGATGCTTATCAACGTGCGATGTCTTGGGTACTGTTCGAAGAAGGATCCTGGCATATTCGTCTTCTCAAATATTACATAATCACGATTAGCTTTCTCCAGAAAGTATCCCATCTGTAGACCTGCTGGTCCGGCGCCGATTAGGCAATATTGATGAAACCCTGATGCGTGAGTTACTGACACAGAGCACGTGATCAAAGTCCATGTGGCAATCACCACTGTATAGAGAGACACTGGCATCTTAGCTCAGTTGATTTGTTAGTTGGTTTATGTCTACAAAATACAATAAACCAGTCATTATTACATAAAAAATTGAATATATAATATCTAAAGTATGTGATGTGATTGGCCAGTCCGTATCACGTGCTGCAATAAACATACATCTATACGAACCAACGATGATTGACGTGATTACCATTTTACTACAGGCATATCACGTGTTTAGTGTGAATTTATGTAGAATTAATATTTCTGTAAGAGGATTTCGTCTCAACTTAAAATGGAATGCTTTTCTTGAGTGCTTAAAATATGCGACTATTTTAGTGCATATAACAGCGACAATATTTCGTGTCATCTGTTTATACAAATAATAGTACGTACCAATTAATATTATGTGGACAAAAATGAGAAAAATGTTAATGCCATTTTAGTAGTGGTGTCCATAGAGGACAGCAAAAAACTCACTAAAAATATTGTAAATGTGGGAATACTAAGACAACCACAAACTCTTTGTGAGGCACTACATATCTTTTTTTACCAAGATAT